AGACGAGGAAGTGGACCTTGACGAAGGCGGCCAGCACTTGATGCGCTACAAGTCCGTCAGTCACTTGCTTCACAATGGAGCCGTTTCCTTGATATGAAAGAGGGAGAATGAAAACAGGATTAGCTTTATTAATTCAAAGATTATTATTATTATTATTGTTATGATAAGGTTTTCTGTAGAGTGGAAGTTCTTAAATTAGAATCTGTTATCTTTTTAATATATTATATAAATTGTCAAGGTTATGTTTTTTGTCCTGAATATAATATTACTTTTATTCAATACAACAACAACAAAATCTTTCTAAAATTTATAGGAGTCAGTGATCATGTGTGATGATACTGGGCCTCATTACAGTATCCTTTTTGATTCCTTGGTGGCTGGACCAGGTAATCAAATGGAACTGACACCAAGGAATGCACAGTGCCATTTGCACCTGTCACTTTCAAATTTGAGATTCCTTCTTGCCAAGTTGCCAATTTGCCTAAGCCATGACTTTCAAGGTCATCCCACAGACTCCTCCACTATTCATTGTCCCAGGAAGAGAGACTGATGAGCAGGATCATCCTCTGGGAGTTCTGGGAAGTGTCTGAGTTTACAGACTGGTTGTACACATAAGTCCTGCCAATTGTACCTTATGCAACAGAATCCAAATGTGTGTTCCTGGTCCTACACAGCTATTTCTATTGCATTGCATGGCTATTTTTCTTCTTAATCTGATAAACTAGTCATGAATAACACAACCAAGATATGTAAGGCACACATCAGCTGAGCAGGTTCTCCTGTCCTACCTCCAAATTCCTTGATCTTGTTCTTGATCCCTAAACCCAAGGGGCTCCCTTTCACTGTTAAAAGCATTAAAAGCGGCCATAAGGATTTTCAGAAGATAAGACAGCATAGCAACATCATTGGCAAAGTCAGTAACCTTAATAATACCTTTTGTTATTCTTAATGACTCGCAAAGAAAAAGGCAAGATATGCCTCCATTGCATTATAGAGGTATGTCATTAGTCCAATAACTTGTCAGGATTCCTCTGAGTTTCATGATCAGAGCTGCAAAAATGCTAAGCCAGGCCCTAGTTTAACTCATGGAAGAGGGCCATCTGCTCAGCACTGATGTTATAATAATAAATTCACTGAAAGAAAATGCTTATAATAAAAATTTCAACAACAAAAAAAATAATTATAAAATAAAACTGCTCGAGACTCAATAATAAACAATTTTGTGGTCCCCTTGTGTGTCACAGGCCATACGGCAGCTGCCACACCTACCATTCCACCTCCCTGGTATGCTCAGCAGTCTAATACTTCAGTGACTGCTGCAGTTCCAGACTACCAGATGGCAGCCAGGACAATATGTAAAGCTGTATGTTCAACATCAGACCTCAGGAGTTTTGCAGGGATCCTAAAAATATTATCTATCTTACCATCCTTTAGTTCAGAAATCACCTCCTTAACCTTATTCAAGATAGCTTACATACTGATACTGGGACCAGGCACTATACCCTTGATATCACCCATATCCATGCTAACTGTCAATGACAAAATCGAAACAACGCGAAATGCTCTTCCCAAAGCACTTGCACCCTATCAGGATGTGGGATGATCAGAGAAAGACATGAACCTAATTTATGTTGGTACCACAGCACAAACAAACATGGGGTCAAGCTCCTATGTTACATGCCTGCCTCATAGTTCCAACTCCGGGGTCCTGGAGGAGGCTATTTTCACTCCTGGTATTAGCTCCTGAACAATAGGGGGTTGACAGACAACTCATAGCCAGATCAGTCACAGTACTGCTGCATAGCAATCCTCTATAATTTGTTGATCTCATCAAATGAGAAGTATCTGCCTTGGAAGGGATATTGGCACAGAATCTCCTTTATATCAGGTCTAAAGATGTAAGCAGAAGCATATGCAGCAATAATAGACATGAATTACATCATGTACAAAACTCAATACTAACATATAATAAATGAAATGGTTGTGGCTTCCCCCTGGAGAAGGTATGCATCACTGTGACATGACCAGTAAAAGTGACTGTGTCACTGCCAGGCCTCAATCTACTCCATCAGCTCAATTTCCCTGACAGTAGTGTTGGTCATTTATCTTGCCAAAAAGAGCAATTGTTCCATCCCCTACCCAAATGGCCCATCTGAGGTTAAATCTCAGTGACTGCTAAAGGTGGTACCACCTCTGCCACCCCCTCCTGGTATCATCATAGCTACAGATTGAACCATTTGCATTTAGCTCTGCCCTCCATGCCTGAGTTGATCCCCATCAGGCATGGCCAAGGCAAATTTACCTTCCTCCTCAGTGTGCATCTCCCCCAGGAACCCACACCCTGGCTACATTGCTGGGTTAGTGCGGGTCTAACCCTCTCCCTGTTATCTTTTTTCAATTGATGTGCTACCACTACACCTCACAGGCTGGTAGGCCAGGACTACCTCGCCAAATGCATTAAATGACCCAATGTGTCAGAACTCCCTACCCGTGCAGCCTC